AATAATATATATATTCATACACACACACACACACACACACATATATATATATATATATATATATTTGGCCGATGGATGACTGTTATAATATGCAACTATGCATGCCCTGTTGTTACCATGGGTGTAAATGTAAATAGTTGAACACTAATGCTCTGGTGTAGATTTTGATTTTTAATATGGAAGTTAGGGTCTGACTCATGATAATGCGATTGTATGCGTTTCTTGGTGCCACAGGACCGTGCTTGTTGTATGTAAAATTCGATTTTTTTCTTACGTCTACAGATATCATGTTTCACATGCAGCTAAAGTTGTTGATTTGTCCTATGCTGCAAAAATATAGGTGAGCGCTTCCATCCAGAATGAAGCGCGACCGGTGCACGGCACAGATACGTCGGACGCCAGTTGGAGTGCACGGTGTACCAGGTATATAATATGTATTTCTAGTGATCACTTGCAAAGTGTATGCATACTTACGTACAGTATGCGTATTGTGTTTGAATAAATTTTGTGTGTACACGTATTAGTTGACGCTGCAAGTGTTCGGTTCTGAAGAGTTGCATTGCATGAGTTTTGAATTTGAATGTGTAACTGTGTATATATGCAGTGTGTGTATAAACTGTTCTATGTAAAAATGGGATGTAATTGGGTGATTCTGTGACTATCTTGGCTTTCTCCTTTGCTGATTCCAGTTAGGGTGGTCATTCTATTACGGATATGGCGACGCCCATGATTCAGTTAACGCCTCCGAAATATTGTGAATTCAGGCCAGTATCACGCACAAGTTATATTGCTGAGCCAACAACACGCATTATATATGCACACTTGTCCGCATTCGAATTGATTTTGAAAATTACACATTTTATGTATTTGTGTATTGGCTACTTTCCCTCGCTTCACCCTACAAAAATAAATTTGGCACTCGGATGCATTTATTCATAGGAAGAATTTCATGATTCTGGTCTGCTTCAATTCGGTATTTGGCTTAGTGGATGTGAAATGAAATATATTTAGAATGAAGTAATGTCTTGCACTAATTATGCTTTATCCAAAGGCGCATGCGTGGTAGTTTGCAATTTCAGCTCAATCTAGTCTTGTTGGTTGTTAGTATCTCTGCTTCACACAAAAGCCTCACCTTCAACTGCAGTCCAACGGAATTTAACTGTGGAGAGCCTGGATGTGCGTACGTGCTCCACAGCCCCGTCGAATACGAGCATCACTACAACTCGTAAGTCCATGTTATAATTGATACACATTTGACTTGTGAAGTAAACTCAGATGCTTGTTTTGGAAGCAAGTTATGTCAGAACATTCTCATTTGTACGCATATACGCCATAATCTGTTAAAAACTACCAGTTCCTGTGTGTATCAGATCTGAATAATTTTTTTTCTGAATGTCCTGCTAATCTCGTATTAACTAAATTACGAAACCTTTTCTCTGCACAATATCATGGTTTCCTACACAGATCACACGTTCATGTCTGTAGCGCGTGTGGCCAAAGTTTGCCTTCCGAGAGGGTACTGGAGTTGCACATTTCCGAGACACACGATCCATTCTTCAAGGTGCTCAATTTGCGACAACCTATGGTATGTGATGGCCATCTACAGTTACGTGGCTTGTGCATGTGTCGGGGTAAATACTGCTTCAGGTTATTGTAAATTCTCTTGTTCATATATAGAGTAATGTGGCCCTTGCAATATCCGCGCTTAAATAATTTAGCCCCATCAACAACTACATTGTGCACCTTGTGCGCATAGCAAAAGTGATCCCATCACCCATGTATTCTCCAGTTTGTCGACACAACCGCATATGTATGTTTTTTTATTAGTGTACGGTCTTTACACATTTGGCAAAAGCACATAAGGTGGATATGGCGAGGGCCGGAAAGATAAATTTGAGCGTATGAGGTGTCTTACCTTAAGCATAGATTTGCTGTATCTGCGCCTGTTGCTGACGCCGTAGTTTTCTGATGCTATACAATCTTCACCCGCATCCATCAAATCGACCTAGCAGAGAAGGTGCATTACGTCAGTAACTTTGAAAATTAATTACTTTTTCTACTACATGTCACAGTATGAATGTTTCATAGAAGGCTGTGCACTTAAATTTATGGCTGAGAATGATCGACGGCAGCATCTCGTGGTCACGCACCAATACAGCTCCAATTGCTTGGATCTGTAACAGATCAGAATAAGCTACTGGCAGGCGTTGCTCTGAAGCTCTGAATTACAGGTGTAAATAAACTCGAACTAGTTATCCGGTCAAAATAACAAACCGGCTCATTAGATATGTTACTATTGCTTTCTATCGGCGTAGTGCCTGCAGGGACCTTGTGCGTCAAAGAAAAAACGTCCTCTTTCATGTAAGTTACTTTATATCCCAATCGACGTTTTTACCTTTTTATTAAATGATAGTTAGGTGCATGCAAAGCTTTCTGCAATTCCTGAGGATTTTCTCAGCGCGACTCCATTCTAGGCGATAATTACCGAGCATTCTACAAAGTAATACGAATGGACCTATTGGCTTTTGTATAGAACATGACGGCTGTAATTTTTATTGGTTAATGCAATCAGACGTGTTTCGATCTACCGATGTTGTGTAGGCGTGTAGTTGCCACATACAAAGTAGAATTAAATACACTTTTATCAAGATATAAATAATCGTTAAACCATGTAATAGAGGTCCGAACCGTCTATAATTGATACTGTACAATCGATGAAATGTTCCGAAAGCACATTTGTGCTCCGAGCTTCAGTCGATTTATACACTGGGACATCGGAATGACTATGAAGCATAGATTGGTTGGTTGCGCGCAACCTGGTCTGAAACTCTTGCAACCCGCGGTCGATTGTAATGGTCTGCAAGACGGTCTGGGCTTGATGTACTATCGCGGACCGCATCGCTATCAGAACGAGTAGTGAATCAACAAATCGTCCAATGTTCTTGAAGCAGGCTCTAATTTATCTGTCGTAGATGCCATCATCGGTGCTGAGTTCCATATCCGTGTATCGCGTCTTAAATGTCATAGGGGGTGCTTTCTCATCGATTTGATACAATCCGAACTTGACCTTTTGGAAGTCTTGTATGTGGTACTCTCCGATATCATTTTTTGCACTCATTATGAGGTCACCATCCAAGTCCATAACACTGATATCAAAATAAGATTCTGATCCATAAGAGAATCGGATCTCTATATCCAGCCATTGTTCCCATTCGTATGGAATAATAACTTTTTCAAACAACTCACGGCTTGGGGACCAGAACACTAAGTCATTATCATCAGAAAATCCCAAGACGGCATTCGGGTTATGGTCGTCGAATAGCTGGAATACATGCAGGGCACAACCTCCAGTATCTATCTCGTTTTCAGTTCTAAATTTGAATCGGAATACAAAATCGTGATCCTCTTCATCCGAAGTGATTTGGTAGGGAAATTCGCTCCAATCTCCGCTTGTTATCTCATTGCGAGGCCTATCAGAATCGCCAGCACCATTGGTGTCCACAGGATCAAGTATGACCTGAATCACTTTCGTGTTCAGTTGATCATCTTCTAGATAGTAGTAGTGTTGAAAATCATGCTCTTGATACTCATCCTCTTCTATAAGCCCGCGTGCTGCCATAAAGTCATCTATGGTAGAGTCATCTCTTCGTTTGATTGATGCACCCCAAGTAACGCTGCTATATAAACAGGCAAGGAGACTAAATATCGCAATAGTATTTAAAAGCATGTTTCTTGGATATTGGTTTGTTGTGATCTATAATTCCTCACACACGAGCGCTATATATACCTATACCGTAGGATGTAGTATATCCCTTTGACAACTCTTTTACTTGTTTTAAAACTGGCCAAATGATTATTCTGCCGAGCGACAAGCGGACTGTTCATTGTTCATCGAAACGTCACCGGCTCACCGCACGATAAAAAAAATACATAATGCCACAGACAATCTATCATTATCCATCTTGATGGGATTTCGAGGCTATTTGGCGTGCTAAAAGTAAACAATCAATCACCATCTAATAAATTGCGATTGATTGTTTAGAATGCCAGATCATCATAGCATTTGATATGATGGCCTTTCGAAGTCGTTCGGCATTCTCAACATGTCTAATAAACTAAATACATACATACTGATCACAAAAAAATAAATATAAATTTGTTACTTGTCTAATGTCTAAATATCATATTTAGAAGGCTATTTATTTATGATTGTGTGCTATTGTTTTTTTATTAATACGAACACAAAACATAGCCTCCTAAGCTGTATATTTTTAATTTTTAGGACGCTATGCACAAAACCACATAAATAAATACATAGCCTTCTGAAAATAGAAATGGGCTCTGAGCCTCTGGCTATGTATTTTATTAAATTATATTTTTTATTTAAAATTTTTATTTATTTACCACATAAGGCACACATGCCTTTTCCTTTTACTTTTGTTTTTCTTAAAAACAATAAACGAAATAGATAAACATTTCTATGGCAAATTTTAACACGAGTAGATTTAAATTTTTGTTTGAAATAGGCAAAAGTAATGGACTGAACAGACTTCAGGAAGCTCAGAGTCGGTCTTTAAATTTAGAACGTTTTGTTCTATTTATTTTTTAATTAAAAATAAACCAAAATATCTATCAGCCTTCAACCATAGCCCTCTAAATTGAAGTTTACATTGAATACTTCAACATGCGGGGAAAATGTTTTGTTTTATTAAAATAAAAGAACATTCCCACCCGCCCAACTTTAGAAAAAAATGCACAATTATTACAAGAACGTCATTTTTACTATTTGTTTAAAACAAATAGAACCGTTTTTCTGTTTTCACTCACAATTTTGACCTAAACGTTGTTTATTTAAAAAAATACAATCTTTTTAAATTTTTAAAAAAGAAAAAAAAGAAATAATATTAATATTTATTGACGACGATGAACACTTCGCTCATTGCCACGCTCAGTGCAACGTGCAAACTGCAGACACAACGACGAATAGTAAATAAGGTCTGGATATGTACCCCGCATATTTACAATATAATTGCAAAAAAAAATTCCCCCAAATATGTACACATATTGTTTCTAAAAAAGGGTATATAAGCAAACCAAACCAAACTGAGCAAGCTGCCACAAGGCAGTTGAAGGCACTCGCACAAGCACATTACAGTCGCATACATACGTGCCATACGATTACACTGTCACACTGTCCGCCACGGAGCGGAGTGTCACTTATCACTCATCACTGTCATCAGTCATCAGTCACACTCACTGACTCACACAACGAGCCCGGGGTGAGCAGATGAGCAGCTGGGCAATAAACGATGCCGACATTTGGGCAAACGAGCATGTTTGTCATATTTATTGTCCATCATGATGTGAACAACATCATTGATGTTAAATGTCAAATATATCATTGTCTAGTGACACCACCTCGACAATTTTTGCCACGTCGCTATCGATATTTTACCAACCCCCACCAGTTAGTAGCGCCAGATGAGTAGGCTGCCGGCACCCTCTCCCACTACTAACTTCAGCTAACCTCATTACGTTCTCCGTTAAAACGCAATAAATAATTAAATAAGCGTTTACGTTCAAAGTTTATCCTAAATACAGTCCTATGGGTTTACAAATAGGTACATATTTTGAGGCGGCCTAACTGTCACGAATTGTCCTATTTTCCCTTTGTGTCAGTTGTGAATAGTTTCAAATCGCCTATTCATTACAAAAGGACAATTTCTCAAGTGCAAATTCGGAAATATTTTACGGTCGATTTGCCCCGGATATACTTTTTGCGTTTACGTTAAAGGTTGAGTTTCGACTACAGTACATGTAGTGAGAGTGTAAGACTCATCAGTCATCACTCTACATGATGTTTTTCTAATTTAAATTCTGTCCTTTTCCTATATTTATTTTAAAAACAAATTGTTTACTTCTTCAAAATTAAATAGAGACTCTCACTCTCGTAGTAAATACTACATAGAGAGCCTACTCCTCTAGAGTAGAGGAGAGAGGGAGTATGTAGAGACTCTATAGAGTACAGGCTAACCTTGCCTATGTACTACCTCAGGCCTCAGGCCCTCAGCCCTCAGCCCCTTAGGCCTCACGCCTTCACCCCTCACGCCTTCACCCCTCACGCCTTTACCCCACCACTAGTAGAGGGCCCCAGGGCCCCAGCCCCCCCACCCCAAAAGGAGTTGACGGACTGTCAGTCTGTCACTCAGTCTGACATTGAAGTTCTGCAGCGCGACTCTTTCTCTACTAGTAGACGGACAAGCAACCCAAACTACAACTTGCTTGTATGCTTTGCAAAACTTACTACGCATATCTACTACAGCAAACTCTAATTCCCAAAATACTTTAGTAGGTATGGATAGATTCATCTCTACGCCCTGAGACCAGACACTGTCACAGTGCGCCCCGTTTTACAAAACCAGATACTTAGAGTTGGACGCCGCAACCAACACACCTGGTGCCAGGTGGTTTCCTGCCGGTTCGTGGAAGACATGGACAATTGAACACCGCACACATCACCAGCGTGAGAGATTTGCCGGTGAGTGACGGCTCGAGAATGTGTGTGCCTCCTCTACTACTAGTGACTGAACTATTTAACTCTGAACTCTAAACTCTGAACTGTAAAGTGTAAACTTCTGAACCAGAGTGAACAACATTGAACTTCTAAGTCTGAGACTCTAAGTCTGAGGTCTCAGGGACGGGTTAAATACTAAAATACAAAAATATTTATCTCTCTCGCTCTCAGAGAGTGCTTTTTTGAATAGATATTCATATCATAGCCTCCAAATAAAAGAACATGTATGTTCATATATATATTTTAAAAACAGCTCTTCTATTTCAAAAGTTATGATATACATATGTTGACAGGTTTTTTATGTATGAGGAGGAATTTTATATACTTTTATATATAACAAAATTGCGTATGTACATTGTACGCTTCTACGGCGTACAGAACAAGGAATTTTGGTGCACCATACGGATAACGGTTTTGTATTTTTTAAAAACAAGTATGTAGGAATTTCACGCAAGTACGGAAAAAAAAAATCATTCCAGATGTGATATTTATACAGTATGTAGATGTTTTTTAATTGATTATTAAAAAAAAGCAAATATTGAGGATCCATCACTCTACTACTCTACTAGTGTTTTTTTTAATACTTTACGTAATGTACTGTATCATCGCCGTTTTTCATAGCCCTGTGTATGATTCAGAAGGCTATACGTTTCTTCAGTTGGCGTCTGTAGTATAAATTTAATAATAATAAAATGCGTTATGTGGAGTATTTGTTAGAAGAGTATAATTTTATAGAAATAGAAATATTAATTTGTATATTTTTAGAAAACAAAACAATAAAAAAATCACACATCTGTTCGAGACTGAGCAATCGACTCGAGTTGTTGACTCCCATCACAAGTGATCATCACAAATATATACTTCAGCAAAAAAAAATCTCCTGGATCACAGTCTGTCACAGGCCACAACGTATTTCTTACATATAACAAAAAAAAGCTTTTGCCGTTTATAGCTTTATGCCCCAGGCCATATCTGTATTCTAAGAAGGCTATGGCCAGGCCCCTCTCTCTTGTATAATTGACGCATGATATTGAGAACTGACTTTCAGCTTCGTGGCGAGAGCATCAAACCGATAGTATAATTTACTTGTTTATACGGTTGAGCTATTTTGGGGACAGAAGGCACGTAATAGCAGATTGTTATAGAGTTTACATTTTTGAGCTTTTGTCAGGATCAAGCGAAAGTACATTGGGCCTGTTGGCGGCTACACCGACTACCTCCCAGCTCAGATTTGATATTACACAACACTTATATTCGACCTAAGAGCTCTGTACGTCACGATATGTGCAATTGTGCACACTCTTTGGTAGAAAAATACTTATTTAACATAAAACTAGTTCGGTATGTACAAGCGTTTAGAACTTTTGTGTGTGTTTGTATGTATGTGTGTGTGTGTTTGTGTGTATACATGTATGAATATATACATGAATACATGTATGAGTACATACATGAATACATGTATGAGTATATACATGAATACATGTATGAATATATACATTAATACATGAG